GCCAGGTATCAAGGTCAGCGCTCCCCATTTATACTGTGAGGGGATACAACCTCTTCTGTGAGGCTGGGGACGGGCTGGGGTTCCTGAGGAGAGGGCCTCCACCTAGCTCCGCCACCCCAGAGTCTGCGGGGCCTGGAAGACCATTGCTAAGCACCTCGAGCACTTCGGTCAGGGCCCATACCATGGAGAGGAAGCACTGAGGGGATGGATCTGCCTTCTCCCCAAGGAAAGGTAGACTCACTCCAGCCATGTCCCTCCTTGTCAGACATGTGTCTGTCTGTCCGTCCAGCCTCCAACAGGTGATTCTGGAAGCCTCATGCCTCTGTGCCACGGTGCAGGAGCTCAGGCTTGACTTTAGAGATATCTGCGTTTCCACTCTGGTTCAGCTACTGCCTAGCAGTGCGGGCAAGTGGCTGTGCCACTCTGAGCCTCCGTTTCCCTACTGGTCTACCAGGAACCTTAACCCTTCCTTCTCAGGGTTATTCCAGATGATAGGATAACGTGATGCTCGTGTTCCTCTGTCTCTCCACAGGCAGCCGGGGCTCGGGCTCCTGCCTGGGTCCCCTTCCCAACGGTGGATGTTCCGGACCATGCCCACTACATCCTGGGCACAGTGATCCTGCTGGTTGGGCTCACAGGGATGCTGGGCAATCTGATGGTCATCTATACCTTCTGCAGGTGCCTGGTTGGCAGGACTAGGGCATGGGCACCGAGGGCAGCCAGCCATGCAGAGACAGGGCAGGAAGGCTGTGTCCAGCTCTGCAGGGCACTGTTGAGCCTGGGTGGGGATGCCACTGCCAAGCCTTTGGTGGTCTCAGGACAGGTCTCCATCTTCTAGCTTAGGGAAGGGGCCAAAAAATAGTCCAGGGCAGCTTGAGCGGCACATGCCAATTGGGTCCCGGGCACACCTTCTTTGTAGGATGAATTTCTCTACGACTCACATGCCTCTGCCCATTCTGCCCTGCTCTCAGCTCACCTCCATGTCACCTGCCCCAGTGGGCATCCTCCCTCTGCCTCGACAAGCAGCCCTGGCAACAGGGTCCTGAGTCCTCAAGACCCTCAGCAAGCACCCTTGGCAAGCACCCCAGCTTCTTTCCCCACCTGCCTCATTCTTGGGCTGAATGGCTGAGACAGGCAGGTGAAGAAGTGAACCCCTGACCCTACTGCCTATTAGCTGAACTGACTTTGGGCAAGTCACTTTTCTCCGTGGGCCCATTTTTCTTTCTTTTTTAAAATTTATTTATTTGAGAGAGAGAGAGAGAATGAGCAGGGTGGAGGGGCAGAGGGAGAGGGAGAAGCAAACTCCCCGCTGAGCAGGCAGCCCGATGCGGGACTCGATCCCAGGACCCTGGGATCATGACCTGAGTTGAAGGCAGACGTTTAACCGACCGAGCCACCCAGGTGTCCCTGTGGGTCCTTTCTTCTTGTCTGCAAAGTGGAAGTGTGATTTACTTCATGGAGTCAATGTATGATTACACAAGCTCATGTCTGCGCAGTGCCCATCAGATAAGTGTTTGAATCCTGGCCATGCCACTTACTGAGTCTTGTTATCTGGAGCAAGCCACCTCACGGGTGGGAGCCTCAGTATTCTCATCTGGAAAAGAGGGAGGGCTAAATGTAAAGATGGATGATTACAGGAGAGGAGTTTGTGAAAGTGCCTGGCCTGTGGGGCACACCTGTCTCTCCCTCTGCCCTGGGCCAAGCCCAAGTGTGAAGACTGCAGAGATACTGGAAGAAGGTGTACAGGAGGGTTGCCTGGGGGAGAAGGAGGTGGAGGGAGCTCTTGGGAAGGCACATCTGAGCCTGAGCATGCAGGAGGAGCCACGGGGGAGAGTTGGCCTGGAGGGGTTCAGAGGAGTGAGGGGTGTGTCCGAGGAGAGAATGCAGATCATGCAGAGGAGATCCAGAGGGCGAGAGGAGGAAACAGACATGTCCTAAAGCCAGCTTCAGCTGGGCTGCATAGCACTCTGGGGGCAGGACTGCTCTCCATATGAGGCAAGAGTTGCTGCCTGGAGGGGGCCTCACTTCTCAGCCCACACTGTCAGGCTCTCGAGCCGTCTGGCTGGTGCTTGCTGGGCAGCAGCGGGATGGGTGGTGGCCCTGGGGCTTGTGCCCGCGTGCGTGTGCGTGTGTGTGTGCGCGTGTGCATGTGAGCTCAGGGAAGCTCCCCAGCAGAAGCACCTCCTGACAGCTTCCAACCCTTCACAGGACCAGAGGCCTCAGGACACCCTCCAACATGTTCATTATCAACCTCGCAGTCAGCGACTTTTTCATGTCCTTCACCCAGGCCCCCGTCTTCTTTGCCAGCAGCCTCTATAAGCGGTGGCTCTTTGGGGAGGCAGGTAGACATTCGGGGTTCCCTTCTGCTGGAGGGAGGAGGAGGGTTGTGGCAGGGGATGCCCACAGTGGAGGCTGGCCTTGAACCAGGAGGTGATTGGCTCTTCCTGGGCCAAGAGTGGGTGGCCGTGCTTGATCCCGTGAGTGAGCAAGAGGGAAGATTCAGCTTCTCGGCCAGATGTGGCAAGTAGCCAGGGTGGAGAGGGGCTCAGGGCTGCTTTTCTGGAGAGGTGAGGGCAGGAGCTGAGTATGTACCACTTCCAGACCCCCCTCCTCTGGGGTAACTCATGGGCTCCTGCCATGGTCTGAGGTTGGGGAGCTGTGCCCACAGGCTGTGAGTTCTATGCCTTCTGTGGGGCTGTCTTCGGCATCACCTCCATGATTACCCTAACGGCCATCGCTCTGGACCGCTACCTGGTGATCACGCACCCACTGGCCACCATCGGGATGGTGTCCAAGAGGCGGGCAGCGCTTGTCCTGGTGGGCATCTGGCTCTATGCCCTGGCCTGGAGTCTGCCACCCTTCTTTGGCTGGAGTAAGTGGACTGAGGGAATCAGGAGAGAGGACGACTAGCTGGGTGGGGCATGTTCAGGGGGGCAGGTAGGTAGACTTGGGTTGGCCGGCTGGCAGGAGGGGCCAAGGGAATTCTTGAGTCTCAAGGCAGATGGATATTCAGGGGGCATGACTAGCAGCAGGGGAAACTGAGGTAGAACCTTCAGCAACCAGAGGATGACCTGGGCTCCCACATGGTTCCTGGGTGGCGGGAAGTGACAGGTGCATCTGATGCTGAGTTTTAGCGTCAGACACGCAGGCCTTGGGGTGTAGGCTTGAGCAAGTAGGAGAGTTAGCAGCAAGGTACCTACCTTTCTGTGGCAGGACCAAAAACGTGGCCAAAATCTGGAGGAGTAATACCCTCGGGCTATGGTGAGGTCTCTGTTCTAACCTGGTAAAAATGGGCAGCAGTGGGCTTTGCCTGCTAGAACTAGCTGGGAAAGCTCCCCTCCACATGCCCTGGCTTCCTCACTGCACTGGGCAGGGCTGGAGTGGGGACCAGTGTTCAGGGAGCCCGGACCCCACAGCTAAAGCCCCTGCTGGATGAGGAGCCTGAAGCATGCTGGCCCGAAGGCTGAGTACCTACTCCTGGCTCCCAGGCGCCTATGTACCCGAGGGGCTGCTGACCTCCTGCTCCTGGGACTATGTGAGCTTCACACCTTCGGTCCGCGCCTACACCATGCTGCTCTTCTGCTTCGTGTTCTTCCTCCCCCTGCTGGTCATCATCTACTGCTACATCTTCATCTTCAGGGCCATCCGGGAGACAGGCCAGTAAGAGCTGGCCGTGGAGGAGGGGCTTGATGGGAGGGTGGCCACACACCTTTGCCAGGGCTGCCCCTACCCAGCCCCCAGCCTCACACTGCACCCTCCCCCTCCCCAGGACATTCCCTCCCAGGTCCAGATGGGCAAAGACAAGCTGAGCCCATGTGCTTAGGGGGTGAGGTGCCCAGAGACCAGCACAACCTGGGTGCCTAGAGAAGTCTCAGGAGACAGGGGCTTCTGAGGAGGGGGCCTTTAGGCTTGATCAGGAGGTCCGCGGAGTGAGAAGACACCACAGGCAGAACCACAGGGAGACAGCTTAGGCTGGATGTAACGGAGAACTTTCTGGGAGTCAGGGCTTCCTGCTCAGGAGAGAATGGCCAGGTCCAGGGAGCCTCCCCCACGGCAGCCATGACCGCGGCCCTCACTGCTGCCAGAGCGGGGTCAGACGCGGACTTTGCGCCTGTGCTAGGGCTCTCCAGACGTTCAGGGCCTGCGAGGGTGGTGTTAGGTCCCCCCGACAACGGCAGCGGCTACAGAGAGAGTGGAAAATGGCCAAGATTGAGCTGCTGGTCATCCTTCTGTTCATGCTCTCCTGGGCGCCCTACTCCACTGTGGCCCTGACGGCCTTTGCTGGGTGAGCAGCGCCCCAGGGGCTGGAACGGGGGCTGGAGGGGGCGGGAGGAGGGTAAGGGGACCCTGCGGCGGCCTCTCCCTCCCCAGCCCAAGCCCGAGCCAGCCATTCTCACACTCAAAGCCCAGCCTCACAGCCAGTCATTGATTTTCCCTGCGGCGGCAGCGAGGTTCACCTGCGGGAGATGGCGCTGCCACTTCTTGGAGGCACCGGGACCCATGCTGGGGGAGCTCTGGGCCACGCTGGATTTGGCCTGAGGGCCTGCAGGGGCTCCCAGGTCCTGCCAGATCCCGCGGGAACACAAGACTCTCCCTGAGGTTCCGGCTCCCTCTTCACCTGGGCTGTGGGCACGTGGCCTGGGGAGCCTCTCACCTCCTGCCTGCCAGCCCTTCGTGGCTCGAGCCTGGGCACTTGATGTCTGCAGCAGCAAGGACATAGACCAGACTTCAGAAGCACTTTGAGACTGTGAGAGTTCCTCATCCTGGGGGGTGTCTGGGTCCGAGCCCTCCTTGTGCCGGAAGGGCCTGGTGCCCGCTAAGGCTGTCTTGTGAGTCACTCTAAGAGCCAGGGCAGAAGAGGGCCTCAGGGCTGTGTGCGGCGGGGGAGGAACTGGCCAGAGGCCCAGAGGCCCTGGGGGTGGGGAGGGTTTCCTGCCAACAGCACAGGCTCCAAGCTGTCGTGGGACCTGGCTGAACCCCTCAACCTGGCTCTTCTTCCCCTCAGCAACCATCCCTCAGCGGCCCCCCAGGTTTCCGCTCACCTCAGGTCAGAATTCTCCCGGCATTGCAGTCCCTCTTGGCCGTGCTGGTTTGGGCTGCAGGGCCTGGCCCAGAGGAAGAAGCTTCCTGAGAGGGCAGGTGGGCTGTGGAGTCTCTGGGAGGGCCGGCTGGCGGGGGGACCACAGCTTCTCCGTCCTAGGTACGCACATGTCCTGACACCCTACATGACCACCGTGCCTGCTGTCATCGCCAAGGCCTCTGCCATCCACAACCCCATCATTTACGCCATCACCCACCCCAAGTACAGGTGCGGCCCTCCTCCAGGACCCAGCCCCATGTCCCCGGGCCGTGGAGGGTCAGAAGCCGTGAATGGGGACAGAAGCTGGCCATCTTTCCTATCTCTCGGATATATGCATTGGGTGGGGGCCTCCCGCAGCTGGGAGCAGCCAGTGACACTGGGTGGGGTCTGGAGCTGGTGTGACCCCCTCTGCTGACCCAGTTTCCCAGGGGTATCAGCTTGGAGGGACGTCAGAGCTCCCTGGGCAGTGTCCAATCCTGCCTATGGGATTTTTGGAGCCAAGGCCAAAAGGCAGCTGGGATGGCCGATCAGCAGTGATACCCTCTACAAAGGGAAGAAGCCCCCGGACAGCAATGTCCTGGAGACCACAGTAGGGAGAGGTTCGAGGGCCCTGGCGGAGGCCCAGGGGTGCTTCTGGCCCAGAGCGCTCTCTGCTGATGGATTCCCAGCACAGCTGGCCTCTCCCTCGAGGGCCCCCTCAGTGCTTCCTTTTGCCTGGTGGTGTCAGTAACTCACCGCCCTGCTGAGGCCAGCTGCAGGCTCAGAGGCTGTTCGGGAGTGTCCCCGTCCTCACTGGAAGAGACGTGGCTTGGGCCAGCCCCTTGAGAGCTGAGATCAAGCCCCTCGCCGAACCTGCTACCCTCCGTGCCCATGGTCCCAGTGTCTGTCTGTCCATCCCCAATGCTATGGGCCTGTCAGTCTCTTTCACTCCAGCATCTGTCTGTCCTTCCTCATCACCTCCTATGACTGCCAGTGTCTTTTTGTCCATTCCCATCACCCCATCATCTGTCTGTCCTCATAACCCCAGTGTCTGAACCACCCATTTCCCCATTCTGTCCACTCCCGTTAGCTTCGTATCAGTCTGTCCATCCTCCCCCATCTCCCGGTGTCTGCCTGTCCATCCCCCTAACCAGCTGTGCGGTTCCTGCAGAATGGCCATTGCCCAGCACCTGCCCTGCCTGGGGGTGCTGCTGGGCGTGTCAGGCCAGCACACTGGCCCCTACACCAGCTACCGCTCCACCCACCGCTCCACACTGAGCAGCCAGGCCTCGGACCTCAGCTGGATCTCTGGACAGAGGCGCCAGGCGTCCCTGGGCTCGGAGAGCGAGGTGGTAAGGATTCGATGGCCTCCCGAGGCTAGCCCCTCACCCTCCTTTCCTCAACCAGGCCAGCCTCAGGCCTCTGAGACCCAGGGACCCTCAGGATCCCGGGACGCTGGCAGGAAGAGCCCTTCACGACTGCCCCATGGCCTTCCCTTGCCCCATTCCCTCTGACAGGCAGGGGCCCTGGGGCCAGAGAGGCAATGGGTTGGCCCAAGGTCACCCAGTAGCAGGGCTGGGACTGATGTGTCTTCCAATGCCAGGCCATCTCTCTTCCATGATGGCAGTATTCCAGAAACTTAGAGCCGTGAAAAGACAGGCATTTCTGGCCCTAGATGCGCCTCCCAAGAGACAGGCAGGAGCTAGTTCGGGGCCCTTTGTTCTTAGCCTTAAGCCCCCTCTTCCTGGGAGCCTTGAGGAGCCCACAGGATACAGTGGAAGGAGTACTGGCCCTGGAGTCAGGGGACCTGGGTTCAAGGCTCAGTTCTACCACATCCTCACTGTGTGAGCTTGGGCAGGTCACTCACCCCTTTTGAGCCTGTGTGTTCTTCTCTAAAAGGGAAAACAGTTGTCTCTACATCCAAGACTGGCTAGGGTGCACATGAGTGGGTGCTGACCCCACAGTTGGTGTTAGGCCTGGGAGCTACCAGCCTGCCAGTCCCTCTTTGGGACCCGGGGCTGTGATGCCCCCTAATGTCCCCAGGAGAGCTCTCTGTGCTGTGGCCTCCCGTCCCCAGCCACACCTGGGCTCCTGCATCATTGTAACTACAGGGCCCACCGTGGGCCTCACCAAGAATCTCCACTGACCTCTTCCCACTGCTTCCACCCCTGGCGGCTGAGGGAGGAGATATCAGAGGTCCCTTCCCTGAACCACATGTAGCGAAAGACATCAAGGAGTGAATGTCATCTGTCAACAGAGGCCTAGACCCTCATGAAGACAGACCCACCCCACACGCTTAAGAAGGCACACAGTGCACGCGCACGCGCGCGCGCGCACACACACACACACACACACTAGCACAGGCACACAGTTTGCAGGGATTTGGTGACCAGCGAGCCTATAGTGCCATGGACCTCACTGCAGTGAATACCTGTGTGGAGGATGAAGACAGTCTTGGCTGGGGAAGCGGGCAGGAGCGGGGACTTTGGAAGGTCCCTCTCACCTCACAGTGCCTCTCCCCCCTTCCCCAGGGCTGGACGGACACAGAGGCAGCAGCTGTGTGGGGGGCTGCCCAGCAAGTGAGCGGCCGATTCCCCTGCAGTCAGGGCCTGGAGGACATGGAAGCCAAGGCCCCTCTCAGGCCTCAGGGGCAGGAAGCAGAGACTCCTGGGAAGGTGATTGGTGTGGCACCTGCCAATCCATACAGGGGTGGGGACAAGGGGCCAGTAGCCCAGGGAGTGGCCAGGAAAGGGGAGCTGTTCTTGTGGGCAGGCCCAGCGCCCTCTGGGAGTCACTCCTTCCCCACCCAGATGTCCCCGGCCTGCTTGGGGTGCCTGGGGATCTCTGTGACTCCATGATGCTGTGGGCAGGCCTGAGTGAGTGTGGACCGCACCCGAGAGTCTGTGTGATTGTGCGACCCTGACGATGCATATACGTGGCAAGCAATGGTGGTTCTCCAGTGATGAACATACAGTAAGTGTGTGCGAGCAGGACAGGACGTAAGTGCAGTGAGCCAGCGGAGTATGGCTTGTGCCTGTGTGTGACCATGTGCCCTGCACATGTTCTCTGTCACTGTGACACCACAGGGCACAGGATTGAGTGTGCCCCAACATGTCTGCTCTAAGCTGCGTGTGACCGAGTGTGGGTGGTGTGTACCTCTCTGTGTGATTGGAGGCTGGACGTACCTTGGGGGGGGTTGCTGCGAGCCGTGTATGTGCTCCCAGTGAATGCCCTGGGATTAGGATGTCACCCAGAATACTTGTGGCTATTAAAAGAAGGCCAGCTGTCAGCCCAAGTGCCTATGGAACGGAATGTCGATGGCGATTAGAGAAGGCCATATTCTGGAACGCTGGAAATGCCGTGTGCACAGGCCCCGAGGCTACCCGTCCCCCTCCCCCTACAGCTGACAGCTCCCCACCCAGCCCCTCCGTTCACACCCGCACAACACCCCCAGCTTCTGGGCTCTCTTGGGCTTCCCCGCGAGCCCAAGACCATGTCCTGCCTTCCTTCCCCCAGGACGTTCCTTGGGTGTCCCAGAGATGGGGAGACCAGGGCTGCTCCCTTCAGCTGTGGAGCCCCTGCCTATCCCGGGGAGCACCACTCCCGGAATGCACCAGCCCCAGGGAAGACTCCCACCCCAGCCCTGAGCCTGGGCAGTGTGCACGGCCAAAGAGGCCAGGACAGAGACGGGCAGTGCCCCCCTGGGCTGGGGAGGGGCCGTGATGAAAGGCACTGTGCCCGTCCTGGAGGGAATACTGGGCTGGGCTGTGGCATAGGGCAGAGAGGGACAGCACATCAGCAGTCACCTAACACATGTGATAAGCCCTGCCACTGAGGAATCAGCACACAGGGTGCTGGAAGAAGGAGCAAGTCCCTGAGGGCTCCCCGGGGAAGGTGGGGGTCAGGTTGAGCGGTCCAGGGGAGGGAACGCCCTGTGTGAACGCAGCAGGGAGGTCCTGGGGCAGGGGGCTTGTTGTGTCCTGGAATAGAATGTTGCTCTGTGACCCGGGAGCAGCCAAGGGACTCTGGGAGCTGGTGGGGACAAAAGAGAAGAAGAGAAGGGCAGGAGGTGGTTGGAACTGTGCGGAGGCCTGATCAGGTGTTGGTCTGAGCCACGAGCCTGGGGAGCAGAGAGCCCTCAGAGGGAGGACTGAGCAGGGGCCCTGCGGTGGGCTTGGTCAGCCTCGTGGGGTGGTAGGGCCTCTCTGCAGTGGCTGGGGAAGCACAGGTTGAATGGGATGAGGCAGCAGGGAGAAACCTGGAGGAAGCTGGTGTTGTAGGACAGGCGAGAAATGGGGTGTTGAAGGCAGCAGAGAGAGGGGGGTGCTGGTGCCCCAGGAGGAGTGGAGGAAGTGGGGGCAAGGGGAGCTCAGTCCTGCCCGACTGCAGGAGTCTGAGAGCCTAGGAGATAGCCCAGGGAGACGTCCTGTTGGTGGCCTTGGACATGGCCGGCTCCATCCTCCAGGCCATATTGCCTGCGGTCTCGGGGAAGTCCCATCCCCCAGCCAGGACCCCACCTGGCCCCTCCAGGCAACCTCCCTTCACTGCTCGGTGACCCTGTATGTGGAGGGTCACTGGGGGACTGCTCCCAGGGGGACACTCCTTGGGCTAAGCAGATGTGTGCTGTTTGCTTTCAGACCAAGGGGCTGCTCCCCAGCCTGAACCCCAGGATGTAGGGTGCCCACGGGCTCCCCTTTTCTTCGGGGACACATCCAGCCCCTTCACCTCCCCCTCATACACACAGCCCAGGATTACCCCCATGAGCCTGCAGGCTTTGGAAGTGGCCCTGTCACCCCTGCTGTGCTGGATTCATGGCCCCACACCACAAAACTCCTGCCCTGCCAAGTGCTCTGCACCCACTTCTCATCTCAACAGCCTGTACCCCAGGCTCAGCCTGAAGCGTGGGAGCCCAGGCCCTCCTGCTTCCCGGAGTCATCCGCCTCGCCTCAAATGCTGTGTGCTGTGATTGTCCAGGCAACAACAATGGTGACGGCTCCGTGGGACACGCCGGCTAATTGTGAGCTGCCTCTGCACCCAGGCTGGGCCTTTCACTGACACGGGCAGCCCAGCGCGGCATCCTTGCAGGCCGCGGTGGAAGCCGAGCACAGACCTCACACGCCAGGAGCTGTTGTTCCCCTCTCTCCCGGTCCCTGCTCCCAGAGTACTCTTTCTGCCATGGCCCACACTCTAGTGCACTCTCCTCTAGGAATATATTTGCATGCACCAAGCACACGCGTGCACACTCTGCACCTGGGGTCTGTCTCAAATCAGTGGTCTAAGTTCATGCTGGGGCTGTATGGCTCTGACAGTGTATAGGAAAATAAAAAACAGAGAAGTTCTCATCAGACAAGCATGGTCTTTAACTACAGGTGCGGTGATGGGGGAGAGACCCAGGGCCTGACCTCTGATGCCCACAGCAGCCTCTCTTTCTCCCCTCCCTCTGTCTCCCATCTGGCAACTTTCACTCCTAAAGCCTCCATCTGAAACTGCAAGGGGCAGGGTGGAGGAGGGACAGAGACGGGGCTTGCCCCCATCCCCACTCCCCAATAAGCTGCTGTTATCAGGAAGCATTTAGCGCCCAGCCTGTGGGGACCAGCTGCTCTTGGACTGGCTTCTGGTCTCCCAGGGGAGGCAGATGGAGGGAGGCTGGCCTTCCCCTTTAAGAACATCCTTCCCACTCCCCCTCCCTTTCCCCAGAGGCAGCATCAGGCAGTGTGGTTGCCAGAGTCCAGAGAGAGAGAGCCTGCAGCTCCAGGTACTGCCTAGCCCGAGGCTTCTACCGCCCCGCATCCCCGTGGGATCGGCTCCTTTCTTTCCCCACACTGGTCATACTTGCTGCTGGGTCCTCTCCAGCTTGGCAGGAAAGACTCCTCCCAGGAAAGGGGGTAAAACTGGAGGTGGGGAGGGATGGGATGGGGCCTGGGGGTGGGGCAGGGGGCAGGGGCTGGTATGGGGGGGGGTGCTGGCCATGGGTGGCTGGCTTTCTGGGCCAGGCCCGGGCAGCAGGGACAGACTGGGCTGTATGATACATAGTAGAAGAGGTGGTACAGTGGGTGAAAGAATATAGGTCCCTCCTTGACTTCTTCCACTTGATATTTTTGTGAACTTGGGCAAGTTACCAAATGCCCCTGTGTTGTGGGGACTCCTACCGTGCTCGTTGTATGGGCCAGGCCCCGGGCATCAGGTGGGGTGCTGGCCATTGGGAAATTACTCACACCCAGGCCTGCACTGAGTCCTCAGGGCCCAGCTTAGGCTAGAGCCTCCCCGGAGGGCCAAAGAGCAGCCATCCCGGTCACCTTCACCTTCTGTGAGCCTCAGTTTCCTCAGCCAGAGCCAAGGATGGCCTTGAACTATCTCCAGACCACACAGGGCCTGAGGTCTCTTCTGAGGAAGGGCTTCTGGAGGTATCTTGGCCAAAAGACCACGCTGGCTGGAGTCCTGAGGGGCCTCAGCCCCCAGGCCCCCATCCAGAACACACCGTCTCTGGGTTAGAAGCTGAACACATCGCACACACTTCCCTGTCCCTATGCCTTCTGGTCGCATGTCCCAGCAACTGAGCAAATGGCATCTCCTCCCCTCCTCCCTGCCCCCTGCCATTCCAGTGCAAAGGGCATGGGGACCTGGCATGCAACATTGGCAGCTGGAGCTTTCCATGCTGCTGTCAAGTTTTCCAGTGCACAAATGAGACAGGAGAGCCAGGAATAACCTCTGGGCCCCTAGAGGGTCTGGAGGGTGTGGGCCTGCCTCAGACCTGCTTTCAGACCCTAGGCCAGCACCCTGTGCCCTTCACTCCCATGCCTGGTCTGGGCATTGGGAGGTGCCTGCGGCCACTGGGAACCCGTTATCTGGCACGAGTCCATTAGGAATGAGCCCTATTCAGGTGCTCCAGCGTGGCCTGGGTCCATTCCCTGTGTGACCTTGGAGAAGTCACTTAACCTCTCTGAGCCCTGGTTGCCGCAGGCTGAGGTGGCAGCCTCTCAGGATCTGAGGGGATAATGGCATGAAGGACCCGGAGCTGAGCTTGGCCATGCCCAGAGCTCCTGTTATTAGTATGATCATTTTTACAGCTGGACAAGCCTGGGCCAATGGCTAGTCTCCTGAGCAGAAGCTCTGTCCAGACCAGCCAGAGGCTCAGCTTGGTCCCAGGCTTTCTGCTGGGTAAGCTACAACCTCAGAATCCTCATCAGGGAGGACTCTGCACAGGAAGACAGCAAACTGCAAAGCCCCTGGCCAAAGGAGCTCAGCCACAGTCTTCTGGGCGAAGGGGTGGGGGTTGAGCTGGGCAGAGAGAACACACATCTGGACTCTCCAAAGGGCAGAGGGAGCAAGGAGAGGAGAGCAAGGAGAGAGCATTATCACTAATTTGGCCAGTCCCCCGTTCTGCCCCCTGGGGGGTGCTGGGTGCTGGACACCCCTCCCCAGGGGCAATATTAGCCGTGTGAGTCACAGTGGGAGGCTGCGGGCGGGCGGAGTGTAGGGTTACAGTCCATTTATGGGCGCAGCAGAGGGCAGATATCAGTGTCGATGGCATTCGTTCTCAGCTATTCTTAGGAGCCTCTCAGGAGCTCCACACAGCCTGGCCAGACAGCAAGGGACGGAGCAGGCAAGGCTGGGGGTCGGGAGTAGGGGTCCAGGTATAGGCTGGGGAGGTGGGTACATGAGGGCCCTTTCATCCCCTCTCTTCTCTCGTCCACAGAGGCCGCCGCTGTCAGCACGAGCATGTCTTACAGCGTGACCCTGACCGGGCCCGGGCCCTGGGGCTTCCGTCTCCAGGGGGGCAAGGACTTCAACATGCCGCTCACTATCTCCCGGGTGAGTGTGCACTGCCCACACAGCCTGGCACCTGCAGGGGCGGGGCACACTCAGAGGAGGGTGTGTGCATCCCTCCATCCGTCCACTGTCCTCCCTGAGGCTCTTGGAAAGCAGAGCATGCCCCATCCCCAGTCTGGGGGCTGGGACTGGCTCCAACTGGATACTGCCGGCCACAGACCCCTGGTTTCGGCCATAGCTGTTGTCCGCCTGAGCTCGCCAACCTGTCGTGAGTGTGAAACATGGGCAAGTGGTGGGTGTTTTGAGCCAAGAAAGAAAAGCCAAGTTTGCTGGGTAGGCAGGCAGGTGGACAGAGTATAGTTAGTGCCTTCCTAAGCCCTTTCCCAGGGATGGGGAGCCCAGGGTGCCCCCAAGCCTGGAGCATCTCCATGGAAGTGGGCAGCTGCTTTGGGGAGAGAGGACTCCCAGCATGGAGAGCGCAGGTGACAGGCCGGCAGCTAGATGGATGGACAGACTGAGGACTTCAGCTGCCCTGCTGTCAGGGCTCAGGGCTGGGCTGGGCTGGTAACTGGGCTCCAGCCCCCACTCCATCCCAGGCCCAAGGTAACAGTCTCAACTCCACCTCCCCTTTCCTGGGCCTTCTGGGGATCTCCTACCAGCTTCCTCCCTCACCCGGCCAAGCCCCTACCCATTCGGCCACAGCTGTTCTGACTGCCTGTCTGACATCTTCTTCCCCACGCTCACCTGGGGAAATGGTCCATATGTTCTGCAGTGTCTGTGATCAGGGAACAGCCTGCTGGAGATGTCCCAGATCACTGGAGATTGTCTGAGTAACCATATTGCCCAGCCAGAAACACTGAAGTCCAGAGAGGTGATAAGCTAGATCCGCTTAAGAGGAAGCTGTCTTTGTTTTAACCGCTGCTGAGTCTCTAGCACCCATCCCAGTGTCTAGAACATGGAAGGCACTCGGGTAACACTTGTCGAGGGACTCCCCAGCAGGTCTGGCAGAGCTGGAGTGAAGACCCTGGGGCTCAGGGTGAACTTTGAGTTGTGAGAGGGCAAAGACAAGCCCTGCCTAATGGGGTCAGCCTGAGGCTGAGCGTCCTGCACCGCTGGTGTGGGCATGAGGGGCAGCCTGCGGCTCCAGACCATCACTGGTGGGTGATGGATGGGCCAGGGAGTCTGGACTCTGCCCACCTGGGGACAGGGAGGGAGGCCGTTTCTTCCTCAGGGCAGCAGAGATTTGCCATGGGCCTGGGGGTGCGGGTGGGCAAGGAGGCACTCAGGTGGACAGCCAGGGAAGGCCTGGAGGTGCTTGGCAGAGGAGACAGGGAGCCAATACCCACAAGGAGGGGCAGTGCTCATTGTAGAACCTGATGTGGGCACTTAGGGGGGACACCAAGAAGGAGAAGCCCCACTCAGGAGTGCCATAGGAGCCTCATAACAGGTGTAGAGGCTACGAGCCCCCGGCGGGGGGAGGGGGGCCCCGGCCTGGCTCTAGTCCAGGGAGAGGGCCACGTTCATCCCGCTGGAGGTCTGGCTCATCTAACCTGGGTCTCCACCCCTCCAGACCCACTGTCCTGGAGGCCACTGCGTGCAGTACTAGGAGGACACCCAGAGCTTTGCGCTCCCTGCCTGATGTGGTGATATGTGGGCATTTGAGCCCTGGTAGACATGGCCCCCTCCCCCTGGGACCCTGCACAGCTCCCCACCAGCATGGTTACAAGGCTGTCCACCCTCACTGTCATGGGCTCACAGCCTCCCATGCCTGGGACTGAGCCCACATCTCCCCCAGCCCTACAGTCCTCAAGGCCTCATGCTGGTGCTCCCTGCCCCGGGGGTTGGAAATTAGCCTCCTGGCTCAGTGGCACCCAGGATAGCCAATGACCTCACCCAGGATCTATGCACCACCTGGCCTTGGCCAGCACAGGGCTTATATTGTAGCACGGAGGCCTTAAGCTAGACAGCAGGAAGAATGTCCCCACTGCAGGGAAAGAGTGTATTGGGATGTAATGGAGCCAATGACTAGGGGCTACCTTTATAAATAGAACCCACAGCTCAGGCAGGGCATTGGGGGGGTAGGTATAATGGCCTCTCAGCTTCCTTCGGGGGCATGCCCCAGATCCTCCAGGCCATGGGACAAGCTGGGCTAGGCACTCCATCCTCCTCAGGGCTTAGGACCTCTTGACAAACTCCTCTGGGGGGCCGCTGATGCCCTGGGCTGGGGCGTCCCAAGCTCAGGGCTACTGGCCAGGCAGGGCCCAGGACACTCCCACCAGGGCTGTGGTGCTTCCTGCTGGGGCTCTCAAGGCCCTTCTGCACCAGGAACTTCTCCCTCAGTGGGATGCAGGGCCAGTGGATGCTCCCAAGTCCTGGCCTGAGCCTTTACAACAGGGCAGTGGTGGCAAATTGTGGTGGGGTGGGGGGTGGGGGTAGCAAAGGCAGGGCCTGCTCACTCTCAGCAGGGCCGACACCCCTGGGCACCTGTACCACAACCCTGAGAGAGGTGTTCGGGCAGGCAGGGCTGGGCTTACCATCTCACTTCAGCGCCAGGCAAGCTGAGGCTCCGATTTGCTCAGGAGCTCTTATGACCTCGGTGACCCCCTAACTCCCTGGCGTGCCCCTCCGCCCTTGGCTAGGGATTAGTCGAAGAGGACTGAATGGGGCCTGCCCCTTGTCAGCTGTAGGGAGGCTGCCCCCCTCAGGCTGGGGGGTAGCTCCAGTCCCCACCCTGCCCGCCAGAATCAACCCTGGGTCAGCAGCAAGCCCCCACGGCCTCCTTTCAGTGGGTCTCAGTGAGGACCCAAGAGAAGTGGGCTCAGGAGGGACAATGGGAGGGTGGAGGGGAAATGCCTTTATTTATCCTGGACAGGTGCGGCTGGGCCTGCAACATGAGCTCCCCTTAACTGCCCCCCCCAGCCGTAGCCAATCCTCCAGGAAGTGGGGGAGGGGTGGGAGCAGCCGCTAAGGAGCCGCTCCAAAGGCCCAGCCTGCCCCCGTCCAAGCTAGGTCAGAGGCTGGGGCCATGGTCTGGGGCCTTGTCCTTGGTGCATGCAGTAGCCCTTGCCTTTACAGAACAAGCGCGCGCTTTTGTCTGGCTCAGCTGCTCTCAGTTGTGTCGCCTTAGAAAAGACCAGTTCAGCTTGGCTGTCTCATCTGTGAAATGGGAGTGTGCATGTGTGAGTGCTTTCTAACATGCACGGGGAAGATGCTGTGCACCTGCTGTTCCGCTGAGGCGGCCGTGAGGATTGGGGAGCCGCGGGGCTGCGCCTGGGCCCCTGGGGTGGGATGGGGGATGCCCATCTCTCTGCTCCAAGACCTCTGTCTCTTAAGGCCTTATTCATCTGGCCTTGCAGGCTCTCCTGAGGCACCAGTCCAGAAGTCTTTGCTTCTTTGCTGTTTTTTGTTCCAGTATTTGTCAGATCTCCTAGCTACAGGGGGGATGCAGAGGACTGAGGGTCCCCTGGGAGGGGGAGGGGGACAGGCTGAGACTATTCTGGGTTAACTGTGCCGGCCATTCCTGGAATTTTGAGGCCTTAGTGCTGTTTCTTGGGCAGCGCCTAGCAGTGCTGACAGGCTGAGCTGTTTATAGCCTCACTGAAGGTCAGGCAAGCCTCCGGAGGGCTGCTGTGAGGCTGGCCGGGGCCTTCCCGGACGAACGAATGTGGAAGATAACCAGACAGAGGACCCCAGCTGGGGAATGCGTTCTTGGAGGTCCCCAGGCCAGGCCTTATCCCTGCCTGCTTCCCTCCCAGGTGCTCAGAGCTGTCCCTGACTCCATGAGGGCCCTGAGTGGGCAGGAGACTGGGCCCTGAGGAGCAGACCCTCCGAGGCCTTGGGCCAGGACAAGGGCAACTTCATGCGTAGCTCCCAGGTTTACTATGGGACAGCAGCAAGTAGGAGGAAGGTCGGCTTCCCGAGTAATGTCTGCTAGACCCTGCTGGGGCAGCCCTCCCGCCTGGGAGTTGTCTCCCCAGTTCCCTGAGTCTTCATCCCTCTCTGCACAGTCCCGCATCATCCAGGGACTGGCTATGATTGCAAACACCCCCCCACTGGAGGCCCCCCCATTCTCAAACACAGCTTCTCCACCTCTTTGGAGCCAGGAAACACCTCTACCCAGGAACCACCCTACAAGGCACGAAGTGGACTTTGCCAGGCCCCAGTGTTGTCTAGGGCCCCCTGGGAGTGACGTGCCCAGGGGAGCTTTCTACCGCTGACATCCAGGACTTGGAACTGGGGGATAAGAAGAGAGGAGACAGACCAGAAGGCCAGGGAAGGGTGTGCTCAGCAGGAGAGAGGACCGGTGCCCCCTGGTTTTGGGCACAGGGAGGTCACTGGTATGAAGTGGCGAGGGCTGGGTGTGAGAGGGGCAGGAGGCAGTCAGGCAGAAGCATCTGCTGGTCATTCTCGGAGAAGCCTGCAGGTGAAAGAAATGAGAGGGAGACATGACAAGAGCCAGTTGGAGCAGCTAAGGCAGGGATAGCCTTTTAAAAAAAAAAAAGACAATTTTTTAACAGCAGTTTTAGGTTCACAGCAAAATTGAGTGGAAGGTACAGAGTCTTCCCAGATGCACCCCTGCCCCACACGTGCACAGCCTTCCCCTGTTATCAAGTGACGTATTTGTTATAAGTGATAAACCTATATTGGCACATCATTATCATCCAGAGTCCATAGTTTACATCTGGGTTCACTCTTGGTGTTTGTTGTTCATTCTATGGGTTTGGGCCAGTGTAGAAGGACATAGATCCACAGTATCGCATCATAGAAAATAGTTTCACTAGAAATCCTCTGTGAAAGGAGAGGCTCTTTGAGCACAGACAAGCCTCTGGCTTGTTTATCGGCCAGGGTGGAGTTGGGGAGTGGGGCCATGGGGAGACAGAAGGTTCCAGTAAAGGGATGAAGGATGGAGCAAGGCCCCAGGGGAGGCCAGATGGGAAGGGAGCAGAGCATGGCATGATGGTAATTCAATCACATCATGTTAAATGCACTTAGGGCTCCATGGGAAGTCGGCCGGGATGGTCAGCCTGGGCGGGTTGGGAGGAGATACTGGAAGTTGCACAGTTCACAGCATCTATTACCTATCCTTGCCTCCTGGCCCCTGCCACACCTACACTGGTAGCTCTAGAGCAGAAGGAAGGCAGGGGCCTGTCTGGTTTTGAGCACCGAGAGTGAGGGCTGGGAACTTTTGCAGAGCCCAGCTACCCCCTCTGCCGCCAGGGAGCTGGGGAAATAGGAGCCTACGTGTGCCTGAGCCCTGGCCAGCGCCTTGCTTCCCTGGGACCCTGGACAGGACTTCTGTCTCTTCCAGCTGATCCTCGGGCCCCTCTAGGGACAGCAGGCTGGCTTAGGACTGGTCAGCTGGGGCTGGCCCCTCACACCCCACTCTCTGCCAGCTCCAGATCTTATTTCCCTGTGGAGCCCGGGATGCACTGGGGAGCCCAGCCTCCACCCCTATGGCACCCTCCACGGGCAGGGCCTGGGGGGCCAGCCCCTGTACCTCCTCCATTGGGAGCTTCCCTGAAGCTTTCTCAGCTCTGCACCTCCTTGCGGAATAACCTATTTAAACATGTAATCCTCCCAGCAGTTGTGGGAGAAAGGCATCGTTGTGATCTTTACTCAGAGGGTGTGGAGGCTGCCCTGTATCCTCAGGTCTGGCTCGGACCAAAGTCTGTGCTCTTTGTTTTATTGCCTCCCCACAAGGCATCCACTGTCACAGAGACCACAGCTGCTCCCTGGCACCCGCTAGCCCTGCGCCCCCTCTCAGGTGCCCTAAACCACGGCCCAACAAGGAGGAAGGGCTCCTGTGAGCCTGGCGGCGATCTTGGCCCCAAACACCTCAAGCCTGTCCTAAGGAGCTTTTGAGACAGGACCGTGCTCCTGGACCTCTGCTCACTGCTGGGCTCTGAGTTGAGAGGTGGCTGGTGATTGGGGAAGATTGGAAAAGTGAAGTGGGAATGAAACAGTTGTTTTGAAGAGGTTTTCACATGCTCAAAAGAAGATAGAAAGGCTTCAAAGAAAAAAAAAATCCTCCAAGGATTTAGTGGCTTTGGGTCCTTTGTGGGACAAGGAACTCAGAGAGAGAGGCAGAGTCAGGCAAGAGACACATGGGTATACCATGCCTGGACCGCACTCTTCACGAGCCCTGGGCTTTGGGCAAGGATCCCCCGGTGGCCCCACCCTCCTGCAGGGCAGGCTGCTCCTGAGAAGAGGGTGGGGATCTGATGGCCCTTGGACCCAGCTGGAGGCAACCTCCTTAGGGTCCCTGCTTCCTCTCAGGAGGCCTGGGCAGAGCCAAAGAGTGCCCATCTGGAAGAGAATTACAGCACTGCTCCACCCCCACCCCCCCAGTCCCAGGGGTCATGGGCCCTGCTCAGGGCAGCCAGAAAGCCAGGCCAGCTGAGCCCTGATGAGCAGACACAGGTGTGGGGAGAGAGGTGCTGGGGCAGGCAGGAGCTAGCTCGATGTTCGCGTGGGGAGCTCGGCTACTGACCAGGCCCTGGGGAGGCTGAGCATTTCCCAGGGAACCAGGATCACCCCAGTCTACACCTGAGGATGGGGGGGCAGGTGAGGCCAGGCAAGAGGAAGGCAGGAGACCCAGTGGGAACATATGGTGTTAGCCCATGCTTGAGGGAAACAGATGTCCCCAGGGCAGCTCCAAAGGGAGGGCATTCCGGATAGTCCTATGGCTTGCCCTAGCTGATCTGGCCCCAGCAGCTCTTGGATGTCATTCTGGTGTCCTTGCTCACACTGACATCCACGATCTTCTGGACACAACTCCAGTCCTGCCTGGCAGGCCTCACCTCTGCAGGCAGGAGGCCCGCCCTTCTGTCTGGGGTCTGTGGTTGCCGTACCTCGGAGCTCGTTATTGCTGTCTGTAGATGGTGAGAAGCATCTGGGGGAGTCCTGGTATGGGGAAGCCCTGGTGAGGGGGTATCTTGCTGTAGGGGGAGCCCTGGTGTGGGGACAGCCTGGTATGGGGTGTTCTACTGTATGGGAGATCTGGTGTGGGGGTGTCCTGCTGTGGGGGAGCCCTGTGGGCGGTCCACTAGGACAGCAGAGGCATTGCACAATTTGTCCTGAATGGAAGCATGCTGGTATCCGCTACTCTCTCTGAAATGCTTCCAAACTAAGATGGATTGCCGTACGGAGAGGGGGCTAGACACGTGACCCAGAAAGGTGAATGAATGCTAAGGTAGAAGCTCAGTGATGGGTGTGGGGATGCTCGCTGTAGAATTCTTTCTGCTTTCTCTGTGTTTGAAGATGTGTATAATAAAATGTCGGGCATAGCATAGGCCTGAATGTGAAGTAAGAAGGTGTAAGGAAAGCCGATTTTCTGCAGACAGGCCCAGCTGGGCAGCTCAGCTTGCCCTCAGGAGTCCCCTCTTGGCCCAGAAAGTGTTTTGTTTTTCTCTGTTGTTTTTTTACCCTTTGTTCAACCCCTTAAAATCAAAGGAAACAACACTCCTGGCATTAGTAGAGGTTCCCTGCGGCCGTGAATTTGGGGATCAGGGATGTGTATTTTGAGAAGGCCCAAGTAATTCTTTTTTTTTTTTTTTAAGATTTATTTATTTGCAAGAGAGATAGCATGCACACGAGCAGGGGGCAGGGGTAGAGGGAGAGTGGGGAGCCCAACATGGGGCTTGATCCCAGGACCTGAGCCAAAGGCAGATGCTCAACTGACTGAGCCACCCAGGCACCCCAGCCCGAGTAATTCTAAGATACCCCCATAGGAGCCAGGAAAGCAGGCTGGACTTTGGCTTCCTGGCAGTCTAGGGGGTGGTTTCCCTACTGTCCTTGCCACGGCTCAGCAGATTCACGGGTGAGGGGAGGCTATTCTGTGTTGGCGAAGGTAGCCCCGTCCCCGGGGCTAACAGGGCGCTTCCACGGCAAGGGCTCACCCGCTCTGGCTGCTGTCCCTGGGTTCCCACATGCGGTTCGTGGCCTGGCCTGTAGAGCCCACCGGGGACTAGAGGCTGGTGACCGCAGGTGGCCCTGGTTTGGAGGAAGATTCCTCGTGAAGGGTGGGGCAGGAGGCTTCCGTCCTTGTCTGGTAGCCCAGGGCCCGGCCAGAGGCTCACCCAGGCCTGGCACCCAGGATAGGGGACTTTCCCTAGGTCCTCTTTGGACTCCTTCTAGGATGGTCCCCCAGGCCAGGGCCAGAAAACGGCTTCTGCCAGCATTAGAAGCCAGCCTTGTCCCTGGGGTATAGACAGGAAGGTGACTGGAATGTGCCCAGAGAAGCCAGGAAAGCTGGCTGGTGGGCATGTTGGGGAAGAAAAGCCAAGGGACATTCTCCAGTTACAATTTGGTGGGGGGTAGCTCCCAGAGGCTCCTCTTTCCTGTGATGTCACTGGGGGGAGAGGTCTGTACGGCATTCTACATGATGTCACAGGGGGCCTTCCACATGATGTCATGAGGGTCAAGTCATAAAATAATTCTTTGTGTTATCTGTAGGGGGGAGGGTATGGTATTTCATGTGGTGACATGGCGGGGTTGAGGGGGGAGGGTAAAGCCAGTCTCCATGACATTCCATGAGATGTCTTTAGAAGTGGAGCTTCATCAACGGGCGCCTGGGTGGCTCAGTTGGTTAAGCGACTGCCTTCGGCTCAGGTCATGATCCTGGAGTCCCAGGATCGAGTCCCACATCATGCTCTCTGTCTCTCATTCTCTCTCTCTCAAATAAATAAATAAAATCTTTAAAAAAAAAAAAAAAGAAGTGGAGCTTCATCAATTTCCATGTGATGTCACTAGGGGCCAGCCATCAAGTTATTATAGGTGATATCACCTAGGCCCTCTAGAATTTTACATTTCAAGTGAATCACCGCGGGGGGGGGGCAACGGAGGGGGGCTACTCTGCATTCAGCATGCTATTACTGAGGGCTAGGCCTGTGGAATTCCGTGTTGTGCATGATGTCATTGAGAGTGGGTCTGAGCCAACCTGACATTGCGTGTAATGTCCCTGGGAGTGTGGCCCTCCTGACGTTACATGGGGTATTCTTGGTGTGCAGGGTCTATAGCATTCTGTGTGATCACACTGGGGGTGGGGTCCCCAGACTCTAACATTCTGTGATGTCATTAGTGTGCAGGACTTGGGATCTGGTTCCCACACCTGCACTTCCCCTTCTGGAAGTGTGAAGCCAGCCACAGAGCTCTAAGCCCTGCCCCATGCCGCAGCTAACCTTGCTTCCCCGGGCTGGTTTGACAGCTTCCCCAGCAGGCTCACCTGCAATGGTAGCACTGGGCACTTGCACTGGGATGCTTCTGTGAGGGTGCATCTGTCCTGCCTACTTCGCCTGGCAGAGTCTCTGTGGTAGTGCTGAATCTTAGCTTGAATATATACCCTCCCTCCTGGAGCCTGGAAAGTACCCCATGGCTTTTCAGGGTGCAGGCATTATAGTACGCTAACTGGTGTAACCCCCAAATCTCAATGGCTTAGCATAGCAGAAGCTTATTCTCACTCATGCAGCATCTGAGGCAGTACTTCTTAATCCTCTCCTCCAAGCAGTGACTCGAGGATTCAGGTCCCTCCACTGGTGGGTCAGCTGTCCTCTTCGGTCCTCTGCATCCAGTCAGCTGATAGGCAGAGAGAGTGCAGGATGGCAAGGATGGTGGCTAGGGGCAGGCCTGGAAGTGGCAGGCATTGCTTCCCCTAGCCAGAGCTGGTCTCACGGTTGCATTCAGACACAGAACACTAGGCAAAGGGGTGATGGTGTGCCAGGAGGAGGCATCAGGCTTGGTGAGCCGCAGGTAGCATTTCCTCTTTCATTCACTGGCCATAGTGAATGAAAGAGGAAATGGCAGGCCTCACCTGGATGATCCCAGGTGACTCTTCCTCGAGACCGGCCCATCCTCAGTCCCACCCTTTGTACACTTACCCCCCCATCTGCCACCCTCTCAGATCACACCAGGGAGCAAGGCTGCCCAGTCCCAGCTCAGCCAGGGTGACCTCGTGGTGGCCATTGACGGAGTCAACACAGACACCATGACCCACCTGGAAGCCCAGAACAAGATCAAGTCTGCCAACTACAACCTGAGTCTCACGCTGCAGAAGTAGGTGGGAGCTCTCCAGGGCAGGGGGTCGAGGGGTGTGGGCATCAAGGGCTCAGAGAGGGTGTCCGGCAGCCATCACGTGGGCCCAGCCTGTGCCACAGGATCACACAGGAAAGTAAGGAGGGCCTCTGGACTAGAAGGAGGCCAGGGCCAAGCCATTAAACATCTGGCACATCTGTGCCTCACTTTACAGATGAGGTTCAGGGGTGGGGGTGGTCACAGTGCTGCCAGTGTGTGGGCAGTCGGGCCTGAAAGCCAGGATCTTCCCTGCTTCCTCTTTGCCCCAGACAGCCTCCCAAGGACCTAACAGAGGCCCATGGGTGCGAAGTGCCCAAGAGCCATGACTTCCTCATCCTGGTCAGGCCCAGTGCCTTCTTGGAGTCACCCAGTCCATGGGGTGGACAGTGGGCCTGAAACTGTTACCCAGTGACCTGGCTCCCCAGCTCTCAGATGCTCTTCTGTTAAAGCCCTGTCCTGGTAGGAGCTCCTGGTCCTAGTGGCAGTTGTCTTCACTTTCTGGTTTCTTCCAGGTCGAAGCGCCCCATCCCCATCTCCACAACAGCGCCTCCGGTCCAGTCCCCTCTGCCGGTGATCCCCCACCAGAAGGTAGGTGCTGACTCCACTCTCAGCAGTGGTTCCTGTGGGGCAGCTCCTGGCCTGCCTGCCTGCCTGATCCTTGGTTGGCCCAACCAGGGCCCTACCCTTGCCTCTGTTGTGGCTGACCACGAGGGAGGTGGGGCAGGCCCCCAGGAAGAGGCGTTCGAGCCCCCATGAAATACCGAGTGTGGGGTGCCTGCCTGGGTGCTAGCCAGCACCCGGGGCCTCGGGGCCGGGCTGTTGGAAAGCCAGCCTAGGCAGCGGTGTTTTTAAGAGAGGAATCTTCTTCCCAGCTAGGTGGGGACAAGGATCCGGAAGGCTCTGACCCTCATTCTCCTGAGGGTGCTGGGAGGGGGTGACTGGGGCATGAGAGCCGGAAGCCCCTGTTTGAGCAGCCACCCCAGGCATGGAGGGGGCCTGCCTGCTCTCAGAGTTTCTCCTCTGACATAGGGTCTTCCCCCGGTTTCCACAGCCCCTCCCGACTGAACGCCCCATCAGCCCCCTCAGGAGTGCTGATAGTAGCCAGGCCACCTCGCCCCTGTGCCCGCCACCCCTTCCCAGCTCCCTCGAAGCAGCTCAACCCCGTGGGCCCAAAGGGCTTGACCCGAAGCGTGGGAGGCCCGCCCCATCCCTCCTGCAGGGCCCACTCCGCACCCCTCCCTGCATGACCTCGTACTGACCCCTGTCTGTCCACTGGCGCAGAGTGGGCCGTAGGCAGGGTGGGGGAGGGGACAGGAAGAGGTTGACAGGGGCTTGGAGTGGGTGACAGATGGGGAAAGGGGGCAGAGGGCTGCTTGGGGAAGTTGCACAGGTGGACTGTGGGAACCAAATGTCAGCCCTCCAGTGCCCCAGTTTTCCCTCTTGCACCTCTACTCTGCCTGACCGCCGCCAGCCCAGGGTGTCCTCTGGCTGTGCAGGGGCATCTCAGCAAGGGGTCAGTAGAGCAGGAGGTCGAGCTGTGCCCACCAGGGGCTTCCACTTAGGGGAACAGGAAGCAGATACAGGATGGAGGGGGCTCCCCCCAACTCCCTGAGGCCCATGCCCCCTTTCCTCCAGCCCTGCAGGCAGGCTGGCTTGGCTTTCTGCGTGGGGCTTGCCCTTTGTCCAGGTGGATGTGAGCCTCAGGGCCAGGGATGGGCGCCTCCCTCCCTCTCCTTGACAAAACCCTTCTCTTCCAGGTGTCTGCCCCTCCTGAGCTCCGCGCTGTAGGCTGCGGGGTGGCAGGCTGCTGGGTGCTGGCACTAACACCTCTGTTTCAGGTCCATGCAGAAGCGCTGGGACACGTGTAGCCTCTAACTGCTCTCTTCTCTCTCCCCTGCATGGCGCTGCCCTGTGCCAGGACCCTGCTCAGGACACGAACGGCAGCCTGGCGGCGCTCAGCCCCAACCCCAAGGCGAGGGCCAGCCTTGGCACCCCGGGCACCCTGGGCACCCCGGAGCTCAGGCAGACCTTTAGCTCCTCCTTCTCCCAGACCTCCGTCTTCTCACACACGGGGGCCTCTGAGCCCGGCCCTCCACGGGGCAGCCCGGGGGCCAAGACCGGCCTGGAGGGAGCCCTGGACTCACTCAGCCCGAAAGTCCCGCAGGGCTCGAGCCAGCCGAGGCAGTATAACAACCCCATTGGCCTGTACTCGGCAGAGACCCTGAGGGAGATGGCTCAGATGTATCAGATGAGCCTCCGAGGGAAGGCCCCAGGTGCCGGACTCCCAGGAGGGTAGGTAACGGGCACACAGCTCTCTGCTGGTGGTCTGGGGCCACCGGGGTCCTCAGTGCTCCCAGAGGCCGGGCGGTCAGAGCGAGGAGCAGGCCTCAGCCGGCCCACGTGGCGGCACAAACTGAGAGCGATACAAGTAATAAGCCTGCTAGCACTTTCCCCGGGAGCCACGGTGTCATGGCTTTACACAAGCTGGGGTGACGTGTTGGATCCTGCAGAGGGGGAAACTGAGGCTCAGAGAAGGTTTAGTCAAGGTCCAGCTGTCTCCCGCTGCTAAGTGGCTAAGTGAGGTCTGAATGCAGAAGACACTGACTCCCAGACGTTCACACCGGCCCACCCCCTGGGACAAGATGAAGCCTGCTGCCTCCAGGAACCCGGGGGTGAGGGTCAGGCTGGTCCCCAGAAGGAGCCCTGAGGCAGGAGCAGGGAAGAATTAGAGAAGTGGAAGAGTAAGTTCTTTGGGGCTGGGAGTGGTCTGGGAAGGCTGCCTGTACAAGGGAGCGCCTGAGCTGGGTGCAGAAAGATTCAGCAACGGGGTGAGTGTCGTGGGCTTGTAGGACTGACCCTCAATAGAATGAGGCAAGGAAGCAGGACCCCAAGGTCCCTCCACAGAAAGAGGCTGTGCAGGAGAACGGTAGCCCGCCGCCCACCCCCTGAACTCCAGCTGGAGGGACTCTGCCAGCACAGGAGCGAAAAGAACCTACAGTCAGGGTGGGCATCATGCAGGGGCTGAGAGGAGGGAGCCCCGAAGCGGAGCACGTACTAGCTCCTGAGCCCTTCCTGCCTTTATCTTATTCTGACTTCTCCCATGCAATCGGTATAATTGTCTTCACGTGCTCTAGAGGCAGAACAGGCTGAGTCAAGGCAATACAGCCCAGTGGTGAGGGGTTCAGGGCTCCTCCTCTGTACATGGGTGTGAGACTGTCCATGTCTCAGGATTACTGGGAGGATGGAAAGAGACCACACGTGCACAGCACTGAGCTCTGTTCCGGCACATTTGCTGTGTGCTACTTAAAGCCACACAGCGGATGCACCCGTGAGTCAGAATCATATCCTGGGTCAGTCCGGCTCACGCCCATGCCCTTCCTTTGCCCTTGCTACAGAAGGTACCTGTGCCCCACCAGTTCACTGCTTCCCCATATCCCTCAGCTCCTTCTGGGATCTTGAGTGAATCTGGCCTTGGGCACTCCACAGCCTAAGCACCCGGACCCTGGCTTCCTTGGACCAAGGCGACGAAGCCATAAACCCCTGGGCTTTTTGTTTCTTTTTTTAAGATTTTATTTATTTATTTATCAGAGAGAGAGAGAGAGAGTGCGCACAAACAGGGGGAGCGGCAGGCAGAGGGAGAAGTAGGCTCCCTGATGAGCAGGGAGACCGAAGCAGGACTCGATCCCAGGACCCTGGGATCATGACCTGAGCCAAAGGCAGACGCTTGACTGACTGAGCCACCCAGGCGTTCCAACCCCTGGGCTTTTTCTAGCAAGGAGCTTCTACCAGAAAACTCAAGGAATGGCAGAGTAGAAATGGCCTCCTTTTGCCCTGGATGGGCTGGTAGCTCTTTCTTGTGCTCTCTGGAACTGGCCCCTGGCAGGGAAATCAGCCTCTGAGAGATTGGGACCTCCATGAGGCCCACCTGCAGTGACAGTAATATCTCCCCTTATAAGCCCTCAGTCTAGACGTGGGGCCAGCTAACAGTCCATGTGCTTTATTTAACTTCAACTCTCAGCAACTTCAGAGGTAAGCATCATTTCCCCCATTTTCTAGCTGGGAAACAGAAGCTCAGAGTGGGTGATTTGCTCAAGGTCACACACAGCTTATGAGTGGCAGACAGGAATGGTACTCAGGTCAGCCTGACTCTTCCCTACATGGTGATAGGGACCTAACAACCTGCCCAGGAAAATAAGGGCCAGCCCCATCCCAGCTTCCCATGACTCCAGTGGCTCCTTCCCGCTGCTGCAGGGGTTCTCAGAAGCCACAGGTGTTAAATTATTACTCGACCCTCAGAGCAGCAGGGTCCAGCAGTTTCTGCAAGGGTAGACAGGCTAGGGAAGGAGTGCATCTCCTTTCATCCATGGTAAAGGCTGATGCTGCGGTCCCCAGGCGATGCTGGCTGGAATGGGGGAGCCTCTGACCTGGGCTAGCCCAGGCAGCCTCTGATGGGCTGAGACTACCACCTTTGCTAAGTGTCTAAGTGCTGGAAGGTGACAGGGTTGGTAAATACTAATCCCCACATCCGGTCTGTTGCACACTTAAGTCATGCTAAGGGCTTTCCACTCAGGATTCTGTTTAGTGTGCACAACCCGTCTGCGTGGTGGGCACCACCATCTCGATTTTGTGAGTGAGGGACTGAGGCTGGGACTGGTGGGGAACTGCCCAGAGTCACAGTGCTAGGAAGATGCAGGGTCAGGATTTGAACTCTCTCCTGTCTGGCTCCAAAAGGAAGCTCCTTCCCCTCCTCTCCGGGCCGCTTGCAATGTGAATCCTTGGCAGCTAGAATCCTCTTGGGAGGATTGGAAAGGACAAACAGGGTGCAAAGTCAGCAGGCCAGAGCATCCCTGCAGCCCCCCTCTCATCCTCTGTGAGCTGGCACGGCAGGGCAGTATCCCTCAGGCCACTGGGTGCAAGGGCCCCTGGGTGGGTCTTACATCTTTGACTTATTCTCCCTGGGTGCTGGTCCTCCGCAAGCTGTCTGCTGCGGGTTGCCCAGCCTCCGAGTCTTCGGGTGGAAGCTAAGCAGGGGCCAGGGGTCAATGCCAAAGAAGATGCTAGCAGCTGGGTACCAGGTGCCAGGGCAGAGAAGGGCAGAGGCGGCAGCCCTGCCCCCGCCCCACGCCAACACTGCCCTCTGTAGGGGGCGCTGGGCTGGTCAGGGCGAGAGCTGACCGTGCAGCTGTCAGCACTGGCCAGAAATGGAGAACGGATGGAAGATCTTTCCTAATATAGCTCCACTTGGAGCTATTTGAGCCAAGAGGACAGAGGGAATTCTATCAGCTCTGAGACAGTGTAGGGCCTGGGGCTAGAGGCCCCCTGGCTTTTGCCTGGGTCCCCGTAGTCCTGGCCAAGGGATGACCAGGGTCAGGCCAGCTGGGGCCCAGGCTTTCCCAGCCAGAGCCCGGAGTGGTCCGATCTGGGACGGTGGCAGGGTTTGGGGGCAGGGACGCCACCGTCTGCACTCTCTTCCCTCAGGTTTCTGACAGGCCCATTGGTGCTGCCAGGGTCTGCCCTGCAAGGGATTTGCATTTAAGGAAACATAAAGCAGGCAACACCTCCCCCACGGAGATAATGCTCTGGGAGGCTCGCTCTGGACAAAAGCGAGGGCGGGGTCCCTCTTGTGTCTGAGCTGGGCTGCCTTGGCTGGGGGCTTTCCTGCAATACGCCTTGGACCTAGTACTTCTCCTGAGCCTCCGCCTTCCTCCTGTCCTGCCTCACTGACAGTCCACAGGGCCTCTAGGGGCAGTCACTGGGGACTGTATCCCTGTGCCCCAGAAGGAGTGGCCAGTGCTGCCTGCCCCACCGCAGGAGGGAAAGTACATCCCCTGGAGCTGTGGGTAACCCCACTGCACACCCCAGCACCACTGGCAATCCTGCTCAGGGAGCAGAACTCCCAGAGCTGGCCCCCATTAAACAAGGGTAAGTCCAGAGCTGCTGACTGGCTCAGAGGCACCTCCAACCTTGGCTCTGCCCATAGCAGCCACAGCTGGTCCTGTGTCTCCCTCTCCATCTTCCTCTCTTGGGGTCTCCAGCCAGGTTGTATGTGGCAGATTCTCTTACATGGTATTTGAACGCCCGTGAAGATGGCAGCTTCAGGGGCTGTGGATATACTGAGGGGGGAACACTGCTGTCAGCACCTCTGACCCAAACTCGGAGGCCGTGACCCTGACCCTGAGCTCTGCCCCCTGTCCTCGGCGCTCTCCCAACCCGGCGCTAGTCAGGGCTGGTGCAGCCCCCACGAGAGCCAGTCTGAGGATGGTCCCAGCACTCAGAGCCCCTGGCAGGACCGCAGTCTGACAGCCCTGTCTTCTTTGCTCTTTCTCTCCTTCCCAGGTGGTAGCCAACTCTCCAGCCAAGTTAGTATCAAAGGAAAGCATGTGTGTGCACTTGTGTGCATATCCCAGCATGCGTCCGTGTGTCTGTTGGTCTGGACAGCGTGCGCCGGGCTCAGCATGTGTACGTGCGTGTGCATGTGTGAGTGGGGGTGCATTGGTGTCCCTGAGCGAGCCTGCATGTGTGTGGAGCTGCAAGTATGGAGGGAAGGCATTGGGGAGGGGTGCTAGGGCTCTGTCTGATGTGCCCTATCCCTTCCCTCTTTCCTGCTGCGGCTGCTTAAGACCAGCAGGCTGGCTCTGGGGGCAGAGGGGGGATGGTGGGTGGAGTGTGTGCCGAGCTGGTGCTGGGTTCCATGTGAGCCTGAAGACATTTCTGTCCTGGTGGGACCGCTCAGAAGGGCTGTGCCTGACCTTCTTGGCCCCGGGGAGTGCACTCATCTGTTGGAGGGGAAAGCCCCGGATGGGCAGAGACTGGTGGCCGCCCAGCCAGTTGGACTTGAGAAGGACTGAGCAGCCTGAGTCCCGCTCCGAGGAAGAAAACACCTGCCCCGAAGCATCTGGAGGAACAGAGCCCTGAGCCACTGAGGGCGTGGCCAGGAGGATGAACCCCTACGTGGAGGAACCTTGCTCAGAACCCCCAGGGGTGCCCAGTGGGGCTGCTTTTTGCCTTTGGGTCATTCTGGACCCTGCTTGGGCTGCCACTGCCTCTCGCTCGTGGCCCAACTCCTGTCCCTGACCTCCAACCCTCTTTGTCTCTGCTTCCCTGCTGGTGTGGTGAGAGAGCTTTCAATGCCTGGCGCCCCCTGCTGACCCTGAGATGTAGCTCGGGCTGAGCCAAGGCTTCCCAGGATCTGGGATCGCCAATGTGGGCAAGAGAAACCTGCTATGAAGGGCTTTGGAGAGGGTGCTGAGGATCCTCTCTAGCAGCCCCAGCTGTCCACAGTTCAGGGGACT